GCACCCCACCACGCCCACCACGGCGCACCCCCACGCGAACATCCACCCCCACACCCACACCCACACCCACATCCATACCCACACCCCATCCACACCCACATCCACACCCACACCCCACACCCTTCTGTTAAAAGTGAAATAAGTGTATGTTGCGCTCCCCGTTCCTGAGAATGCGGAACGGGGTAGCGTTCCCGTTTCTAGAAACGGAACGCAAAACTGACACCCCTAGTCGTGAGTATCCGTATAAAGAGTCCAGACGGTGAAAAGAGCTGAATAATAACGACATTTGTGGANCGAACGTAGGATGTATGCGCGAATACACTTTCATGGTTATCTTCTGAGATACCAGAACGAAATAAAAGAAGGATGTGATAAGAGCGCAAAATGGTGGGAAAAAAGGGTTAAGGTACTTGAAAAGATTTTCAGCTTGTTCTTTTCGCAAAGAGAAGGCAGTTGTCATAAAGATAAGTATTATATGAGATATAAGTTGTAAAAAACCTAAGCTAAAGAGCGATTGTAAATTTTCGTATAAAATTGAAGTTTGCCAAAATCACAACTCTCATTTGTTCGAAAGCGAAAGAACTATTAAAGGCAACTTCAACGAATATGTAAGTACACATTATCGAGAATCGATCCATGGCGGCAGCAGAGGAGTACGACCCGACTCTTTCCCCTTCAGCTATTGTTGTATGTCTCTCTACAACCACCAATCAAGAGAAATTCGACTTAACAATCGAAAAATTGAAAGTGAAGCATGTTGATGATGTTCAATTGTTTTCTGATGTCGACGAATGTGTTGACTATGTTACCTCATTGAATGACACCCATAGAGTATTCTTAATTCTTCCGAATACTCAGGCGCAGCTTTTCGTCCCGATTCTGCATGACTTTATTGTTATTGATTCCGTCTTTATCTATGACAAACGTGATGCAACGATCTGGGCTGACAACTTCGAGAAGATTGTTTGTGTGACACACAATGATATTGAAAAACTAACAGAAAAACTGCTCCAACAAACGACGTAAGTGAAAGACTGAATTTCACGTCTTTTATTTGTGGCTTTACTTTCTTCTTATTCAGAACACACTTTTGGAGACACTTTTACACAGGAAACCCTATGGAGATCCCTTTAAACCTATACTTTCATCTCAACGCCATGCAGCTGGTCATAGCCCCTCCTCCTCTTCCAGAGGCTCCGACAAACATTCAGTATGTTCTACTTCTATTCGAACAATCCTCGAAGATCACATTTCAACCATTGGTTCAAAAACTGACCTCTCTACCACTAATGCACCTAGAGATTGAGCACGATGTAAGATCAGGGTACGAAAGAATGGCTCGTCATCCCTTCGAATATTGGCGTGTTGCCGTCGATAATCGATTAGCCAAAGAATTTGTCAGCATACTTAAACAAAAAATGTTGGAACTGCATCTAGTTGCATCCGTCATGATGTATTCACCGAATTATAGCTCCGAACTTGAATGTGTTCGGATTAAACTAGCAGAAGTATATGCGTACTCTCGTCAAATGAATTATATATTTATAATTTGTTTTTATAGGTTTGGGGTCATATCAAAGTAGAGTTACACGATATTGTGAACTTTTGCTGCTTTGATGCAATGTTGCACCTACGAAAAAAAACTTTGGACCAATTGCAAGATCTTATCGAATTAGCGTCGCCGGAGAGAGCTAAAGTCGAAGCATTAACAATCATAAACGCACACGACGTTCTTCCATTCGAAGCTAAATTAAGAAGTCGTCGAAACGAATGTTTCACACAACTGGCATCTCCTGTGTTTGTTCTTGATGCATCGGAAGCATGTGCTTTTAAATTTTTTCCGGCGCTACTGATGCCAAAAAATGCTGATAACTGTATTAAACAGATTCGTATGATCAAAAGTAAGTTAACAATCAGAAACGTCAAACTTTGAAGAAGTTCATTTATACTTAGACCTCCATTGTCATGCTTTGATCAACGGCCATCTCGATTCGCCGAGAAAGAAAGCAACCTTCGATGGGTTAATGAAATATTTGGTGCCTGGTCCATGCGTTTATCCATTCAAACTTCTAGGTATTTATTGCCTACGTGCTTACACAGCGGACACATTCTTGTTTCGTGATTTGAATTACGCGATGGCTACATATGACAAGGCGAAGATTCGATGCTTTCGGGAGTATATTAACTTGTCATGTGCACCTTTTTATTCCAAATCTATACCTTGTTTTGCTGGAACTCTGTATCGTGCCGTAGAAATGAAACCTAATGATTTAGCATCATACAAAATAGGTGCTCGCGTATTCTTTCCTGGCTTTTTGTCTACGAGCAAATCTTTGCAGCACATTTTGTTTATTGGAACGAATACAATATTTGAAATTCAAACAATGTCAATACAGCATCAAGAAGCACTGTTTATGTATTCAAACGTGGATCTTCATGTCAGTCAAGTTAGTTTGTTGCATGAAGAAGAGAAAGAAGTACTGTATGCTCCTTTCGCTTCTTTTTATGTTCGAGGTGTTAAAGAAGAGGTACATAATGGGATAAAGATCACTTTTATTCGCCTCGAAGAGCACGATATGTGTGCTATGTTCCATATGATGCTTTTACATTACCAAGAAAAGATCGACAGTGGAAAAGCCAGTGAATTAACTGATATAGATTTCAATGCGGTTCCACCAATTGTCGAACTTTAGCCTGACTGAAGAGAGGAAAAATGGAACATTTGCACTTTACATACTTCTGAGCGTGTTTATAATTAGAGGGTGTGGGGAAGGGGGTGTGGGTGTGGGGTGTCGGTGAGGTGCTGGTGTGGGTGTGGGTGTAGGGTGTGATGTTATTTTCCAAACCCACACCCACACCCACACCCTCAACATGTGCTTCAACCAAATTGAGAAGAATAAGATGAGAAAATGTAATAAATGACGATGAATGTTGCTTGTTTTGCGGTGATACACCATTATGTATTATCAATTCTTTGAGAAAAGGAAAATCTTGAGAAGTAACTTTTAATAATTGGTGTTGAAAAGGATGCGTATCATCCATCTTCAAGCATCGGACTTTATCAAACATACCACCTTGATAAGAATTGTTAAGAGGAAGAAAGTTTTCAAATTGATATGGAAGTGAATAGATATGAGATTTAATTACGGGTCTCCCTGGTTTAAAATAGACATATGAACTAACTTGTCCATATATTTTATCAGTGAAACTACGTTGAATGTCTTCATTTGATGTAAAATCAATTTTAATATTATTATGAATGATACCATGTGTATATAAACTGAAACTAAATTTATTCAATCGTGGAATATTAATAAGAATTGAATCATGTAATTGAATACCATCAATAACATTCCAATCAAATGTTGCTATTGACAAAAACAATATCAATTCTTCGAGATTGATCATTCGATGTAGCAATGGAATAATTCGATCATCATAACAAAATATCTTATTAATCGAATTATTCTTTAACCTTATCTTTTTATTCAAATAAGATCTGTCTCAAAATACAATCATTGAAATTTCACTTACGCTATTGGTTGTATATGCTCTCGTTTGTCCAATTTTTTCCACAGCAATAGTCGAATTCGATAAACAGTTAAGATATCCATCAAGAAGATAAAGACAATTATCAAAATATGTGACATTTATTTTCAATTTAGCTAAACTTGCAGACATGCAAAGTATTCGTGGTTGATTATAAATACTAATCGACATCTTTCGATTAGGAAATAATTGACAAAAATTCAAATTGATTAATCGTTTACATAAAGACGAAATCAATATAAATATATTTGAAGAAACCTAAGATAATTGTGATATTGTGTT